GTTTTAGTGTGAGGAGTGCTAGGTGGGGTAGGGATCTGGTCAGTGGCGAGGTCAAAGGAGAGGGGAGTTGAGGGGGTTTTCATGTGAGGGATGGACGTCTGAGCAGTGGCGATGTTCCTACGAATTGCGTTGATCTTGTTTTTGAAGTGATTGGCAATCTCGTGGGCAGTGAGTGAGGTACTGGGTGGAGGTGGGGTCGGAGAGAGTAGGGAGTTAAAAGTAGAGAAGAGCCGGTGAGGACTGGAGGAGAGGGTATCGATGAGGGTCACAAAGTAGGCTTGCTGGCAGCGTGGAGGGAGGAGGTGTGAGGAAGGCGGATTTATATTGGGTGAACGCTTGTTGGGATCTGGTTTTGCGCCATAGCCACTCCAGCGTAATTTGCGTCATTTGAGATTTTTGGTATGGTCAGTCTGCCAGGGTTGAAGCGGGCGGAGGTCTAATGCTTCTTGTGGTTAGAGGCGCTAGCGAGTCTAGAGCGGCTGACAGCGAATTGTTTTAAAAAGTAGTGGCCCGGTCAGGGCAGGACAGGGGAAGGATACTGTTGTACAGTTGGTCAGCTGCAGAGTGGAAAGGGGCAGGGTTCAAGTTGCGGAGGTTTCGGCTGGTGATAGTTTGGCATTTGGGGGGGTAGGTGTGTGAGGACGAGGAGACGGAAAAGGTAATAAGGTTGTGGTCCGAGAGAGGAAAGGGGGTGTTAGTGAGGTTGTGAGAGTGCAGAGATGAGAGAAAACAAGGTCCAGGGTGTTCCCATCGGAGTGAGTGGGGGACTATATGCACTGTGCGAGTGCAAAAGAAGAGGTTAAGTGGAGGAGTTGGGATGTAGCCGGGTTATTAGTGTTGATAGGGATGTTGAAGTCTCCAAGGATGATGGTGGGTAGCTCGGAGGAGAGAAAGAAGGGTAGCCAGGCGGAGAAGTCGTCGAGGAAGCAGAACACGGGTCCAGGAGGCCGATAGATTACTGCAATCCTCATGTATAAATACATGAGTGGTTCATATAGTGAACTCAGTGTAGTTATTCACCCTGAGGTCATCACAGAGGACAAGGGGGCACTCTTTTACGTCTGGAGGAAAAGAAATCTCCAACCATGGAAAGGTTCTTCACAGTGAGAACTGTGAAAATGTGGAATAGACTTCCTCAAGAGTTGGTTCTGGCCAGCTCAGTGGATTGCTTCAAAAAAAGGCCTGGATCCTTTCTTAGATACACAGAATTTTATTTATTTATTTCAGGTACTTATATAACGCCGTCAATTTACGCAGCGCTTTAAAAATATATATTGTACATTCACATCAGTCCCTAACCCTCAAGGGGTGTACAATCTAAGGTCCCTAACTTACATTCATCCATGCACATACTAGGGACAATTTAGACAGGATGCAATTAACCTACCTGCATGTCTTTGGTGTGTGGGAGGAAACCGGAGTACCCGGAGGAAACCCACGCAGGCAAAGGGAGAACATGCAACCTCCAGGCAGGTGGTGTCGTGGTTGGGATTCGAACCAACGACCTGAGTACTGCCAGGCGGAAGTGCTAACCACTAAGCCACTGTGCTGCCCTATAACTGGATACTAACATTTTATATGTAAAGTTGATCCAGGGAATATCCAATTGCCTCTCGGGAAATCAGGAAGGAATTTTTTTCCAGCAGGAGCAAACTGGATCATGCTTTGCTCTGGTTTTTTTGCCTTCCTCTGGATCAACTGTGGGTATAGGATTATAACTTTTTTTTTTTTAATGGTTGAACTGGATGGGCTTTTGTCTTTTTTCAGCCAGACTAACTATGTAACTATATGTAACGATGTAACTATGTAAAAAATCCCAATAAAATACATTTACTTTTTTTGTTGTAACATGACAAAATGTGGAAAATTTCCAGGGGTATGAATACTTTTGCAAGGCATTGTACACTGCACTGCACCCAGGCTGTGGCCAAACCACAGTGCAGCAGTGTGAAAGCACCCATAGGGACACCTTTTCTCTTCATTTTATGCTCATGTTGGTGTGTTAACACCTGCTGCAATGTGGGTTAACATGCATTACTTTAAGGCCCTGGTCTCTTCCTCCCATGCCCATCTCCAGGACTTCTCCAGGGCTTCCCCCATCCTCTGGAACTCATTACCCCAATCCATCAGACTGTCACCTTCCCTCTAAACCTTTAGGCACACCCTGAAAACTCATCTCTTCAGAGAACCCTACCCCGCCCTCACCTAATTGCTGATCTCCTCCGCTCTTCCCACCACTCCATCCCCCACAGCTATTTCCTCCTGTTCCACTCTCCCCTTCCTCCTGTTCCACTCTCCCCTCCCTCCTAGATTGTAAGCTCCAAGGAGCAGGGCCCTCGAACCCCTCTTGTGTTGTATTGATACTGTACTGTCTCATGTTCTGTCCCCCACTATAATGTACAGCGCTGAGCAAACCGTTGGTGCTATATAAATACTGTAATAATAATAATAATAATAAGGCAGCCCATTTATTATGAATGAGTGTCCAGCACATCTCAATGAACCAATTAAAGGAACTGAGCAATTTTTACTAGAACAAACATGGTAAGTGCAATGTGGTGCAATGTGGTGGGCTGCCATGCAGTGTGCTTTGGCAACAACAGTACAGTTTGATGCCATTGATATATGAATGGCACTTCAATATATCTGCTTTTGCTACAGAAGAAGCAGTTCCATAGGGATAAACAGAAAACCTCTTGGCTATCCTGCCACTGTTGATTTTGACTGTCAGTGGCAAGATTGCTATCAGCAGTCATCCATGTCATCAGCCATAGGTGTGAATTGGCCCCATAGAACAGGTGTGATTGATTGTCCCAATACTTTTATTTGCATAGGAGCATTGTGTGATAAAATGCTGTTTGATCTATCTCTGCATGTGTTAAACTTTTATTAACAATCACTGTACCCAGAAGTAGAGAATACTACTTCATAATGGAATTATATTAAACAGAAACTTCTGTCAGGATAAACATCACCACTATACTCATACAATGGCAGGTTTGTTTTGCCTGGAAACCACCTTTAACCACTTATTTTGTCTTCCATTTGTCTTTTTCATTGAGTAGTAAATCTCATTTAAATTGCGAAGTAAACTGGCTCAAGTTTATTTGTTTCAGATATGTGCTTTTGTAATTTGTATTCAGAATCACACTGTATTGTTTTGGGAGTCTGAGGGCAGCTGAAACATTCATCACTTTTTTTTTTTTTTCATTTAACCAGCAAGTTGAAGGACAACAACAACAACATGATCTAATTCCACCCACTGTGCCTTTTGTGTTCTGATGGAGGGGGAAACTACCCTGCTGTCAGAGTACAATGATCAATGTTGCTGGCTGTAGCCTGTGGCACTAATCCGTCCGGAAAAATTTGACAGCCTGATTGCACAGAAGTCAATCGGTAGACTACTGTACAACCAGTATGCCCATACATGGATCTAAATTTGCCAGGTCCCTGCTGAACTGGCCGAATTTTGAACAATGTATTGCTGCCTTTAAAGTAAACTTTTCCTTCGACATGGTGGTGGCTGCCAAATGATAGTTGCTTTGCTGTTATGCTGAACTTCTGGCTCCAATAATTTCTAAAGAACTTACTTGGAACAGGTATGCAATAAATCCTTGTCTACAGAATTCTTTATAGTCAGAGACTTGAAGTTCTAAAGCTAGGAGAGGAGGGTTAGCATAAAAGCTAGGCAGCTAGAATTTTCTGAAGGGAAGGTCACCAATGGCAGTCTTCTTGTCAAGTATGCATAAGGCCTAGTCCACACTAGCATTGAAATCTGGCATTTGAGGGGCTTTTTTAACGGTCCTCAAATGTCTATGCAAATGATACTATGGAAGCAGACAGTGCTGTTCACATTATCAAAACATGAAGCGTTAACGTAGCATCACTTAAAAATTTAAGCCTTATGTAGAATCAGAGGGAGTTTGAAGCCTTTCAACACCTGCCATTTCAATCTATGGTGTTGCGCCTCAAACACACTGGCAGGCGGTTGTGGGGCGTTAATAACATTAAAGATTATTTAGTTTGTGGTGTGGTTTTAGCGCTTGTAAAATGCTTCAGAACTGCACAAAGGGCCTTTAGAGAAGGTCTAATGCCTACACTAAAGCTATAGAGGTGTTTGATAAGAGTTAGAAATTTACTCAGGTGTGAACAAGCCCTTAGGCCTTGTTGACACCACCAAGTGTGTCCTTGGCTGTTGGTGTGTGCTTAGAACAGTGTAGATGAGTGATAAGAGCATGACTTTTTATGGACTTCACTCCTGTGGCCACAAGGCCAGCTTTGTGGTGTGCTGCATGTGCTGTTTTAAACTTATATTACATGGGCTGCCAATGCACTTAAAGGAGAAGTACAACCAAAGTTTTTTTTGGGCTGTACTTCTCCTGTGGATCACAGGAGTGTGGTTCGTTCTGCACTCCTGCGACCCGTTTTCAACTGACAGAGGACTGAAGTCCATTGTTGGCTAACTTTACTCAGCCGGACTAGGCTGAGGAAAGATCCCGATTTCAAAGTTGTGGTCCACCCCAGAGTCTGGAGCGGCTCCTGACTCAGCCTCTCAACGATCTGCTGACAGCCTGAGGCAGCCACTTTCTCCCGCTACACAGCCCAGTGTTTCAGGGCACTGGCGAGGATGAGCAAACAGCCATGACTGACAGTCCCGCTCTTTGCGGAGAGGAGAACTCTGCAATCAGCGGTTATGTGATCTCTGAGTGCTCACCCTTAGAGTCGGCAGGGGACAGATGCAGCATTGGACGGATGCTGCATCCATCTAGGTAAGTATATATAGGGAAAAAAAAGCCCTACTTCTCTTTTAAGCACACCTCAAACTGGATCTGATCCTTTTAGCAACAGAGCACACCACAGTGCATGGCGGTGCATTACAAGGAGCTGAAACACAGGTGAGGTGCAGTTCAAAATGAATAGCATTGCAAGGCACTAACACATGCATAGTGCATTACCAAAATGTAAAGGTGTGAAGCCAGCCTTACTGTCCTTTAGTATTAACCTCCCTGGCGGTATTTCCAAGTGTAGCTTGGGGTAAAGTTTCAGCACCACAAGTGGTAACCCCGAGCTACACTCGGGAATACCTTGCAGCGTTGCCTTCTGCACTTACCTTGTCCTTCGCTCCCGCAATGTCCCCCCTGCAGCGTCCCGTGCAATGTCCTCCGGCGGATGCCGGCATCTGTCTTCTGGGTTCCGTTCCCTGCGACGTCAGGACGTACGGGGACGGAACTGGTGGGAAATTTAAAAATGGCAAAAAGTGACATTCACGCAATACATTAAAATCACATAGTAAAACATTACTGTATCAAACCATTTCACATACATTTTGTCCCTAGTGCTTTGTCCTGTGCCCTGCCTGTATTTTTACTGTTCTTTCTGCCTGGAAACTGAGAAAAGTCCATGGCGTCCAAAAAGCATCCCTTTAGGTCAAAAGTGGTTTTAGATCAGCTAGAGAACAGCGATAGTAAATCAGAACCACTTGCAGAATTGAGTGATAATGATTCGTGGGGAAATTCGTCATCAGACACTGAAAACGATTTTGCAACTTTGCTCAGTGATGTGCGATCTTGGCGCTCTATTTCAAATGTCTGTTTTTGGTTTGATTACATTATTGAATTAAATTTATTATTATTATTTTTTATGATTATTTATTAAATTATAATTTATGATTTCGTGTTTCCAATTTTAACATACCAGGGATGTTTACTAGACTCTTGTTCGGACAAATTTCAGTGAGTTATTCCTAAGAACTACAGGCCTACAATAAAAAAAATACATATTTCCATGCAAAAAAAATACCGCTTTGAGCACAGAAATATGGACATAATCAGACCGCTAGGGATGTTAAAGAGGAACTTTACTAAATGAAATACCAAAAAAGTAAAATGTTGGGAAATGGCGGGAAATGGCAGGATTTTTAATGCAGAAGGGACATATGATATCTCTTATGTATGAACGTTTTCTTAACTGCCTGTTTTCAATGTACACAGTTCAATGTACATGTGCATACACAGCTCAATGTACAAATTTGGCATCTGCCAAGATAAATGAACTTTCTGCACATGTGAGGAAAGTGATGGAATCTTGGCCTGACCAATTAAAATGGCCACAATATAAAAAAACATGGAGAAACTTGTGCCAACATCCCAATTAATAACAATATTTAGGACTTTCTAAGACACCAACATATTCATATACCAACATTTCTGACACAAACTGTGTATTATAAAAAAAAAACTTCAATTTGTATTATAAAAATAAAAAATTACGCATAAAATCAAGGCTGACAGTTATTACACATTACACCTCATGCAAGAGAATAAAGTTACACACTCTCTATTCCATCAAACGTCATAATGCTAACAGATAAGTACATGTTTTTAAGCATTCTTTTTAGGGGGGGTGAGAGAACAGAGAGAGTACCAATTTGTAGATTTAGCCAGCCACAAACGAAAAACACTGTCTGCTCTCCATGATCTGCCCCCACCCAATAAGAGGCAAGAGGGATGTGCACAACGGGTAAACTTAGAGGATCCCCTTTAAGGCCAGATTCACATCTATGCAGGTTGCGGTTGATGTGTTTTTCCAGCCTGTTTTGTGTGCGTTTTACATTTTTGGGCTTCTATTTTTTCGCTGGAATTTGGACTTTTATTACTTTCATTTGGGGCCCTGGACTATTGGCATTTGTAATATCTAGCTAAATTCTCTTAAGCTGAACACAGATGGATGAATCTCAGTCAGTTCAGCAGAGACCAGCTGAGATTCAATCCATCTATGGGCTGATTGTACCCAAGATGGTCCATCAATTGACGGGTTCAACCAGCCTGTCAGATTTTTAGTATGCGATTATTTCCAGTGGCTATAGCAGCTAGCAATAGCCCCCCCCCCCCCCCCCCTTCCCACCAGGAGAACACAATAGCTCAACAAGAGGGATTACTCCATGAGCACTGACTGTGTTGATGAGGGAATCGAGCAATATTCTTTCCTGTAACCTGTGGACCCAAAAAAACAGGTCCATAGCAGAAATGTAAAAAGTGCTCTGGTCCATAATGGGTGAACAGGTGTGAGAGCCGAAGTAATTAACCTCTTGCCGTCTGGAAGATTTACCCCCCTTCATGACCAGGCCATTTTTTGCTGTTCGGCACTGTGCTATTTCAACTGGTAATTGCGCGGTCATGCAAGGCTGTACCCAAATGAAATGTATGCCCTTTTTTCACACAAATAGAGCTTTCTTTTGGTGGTATTTGATCACCTCTGCGGGTTTTTAATTTTTGTGCTATAAACAAAAAAGACTGAAAATTTTGAAATAAGATGTTTTTCACTTTTGTTTATGAAAAAAAATCCAATAAACTCAAACTTAATAATAAATTTAGGCAAAAATGTATTCTGCTACATGTCTTTGGTAAAAAAAAATCACAATACGTGTATATGAATTGGTTTGTGTGAAAGTTATAGTATCTACAAACTATGGTGTATATATAGTGGAATTTCCACAGCTTTTACTTGTGACTGCCTATCACTGTTCTTGAGGCGCTAAAATGCCAGGGTAGTACAACCCTCCCGACCCCTTTTTGGAAAGTAGACACCCCAAGGATTTTGCAGAGAGGCATGTTGAGTTTATGGAACATATTTTATTTTTTGCCACAAAGTTTTTGAAAATGACTTTTTTCTTTTTTTTTTTTTTACACAAAGTTGTCACTTTAATTATATATTGCTCATGCATGCCATGGGTATATGTGGATTAACACCCCAAAATACATTCTTCTACTTTTTCCAAGTATGGGGATATCATATGAGAGATTTTTTGACAGCCTAGCTACATACAGGCCCCCCAAATCCAATAAACACCTCCAGGCTTGCAAAGGGAATATTTCCTCATATCACTTCCCCACTACCTATCACAGTTTCGGAAGCTCTAAAATGTCAGGACAAACACCTCCCCAAATGACCCATTTTTGGAAAGTAGACACCACAAGGAATTTGATAAGAGGCATGTTGAGTATTTTACACATATCATTTTAGTCACAGGGTTTTTAAAAAGAAAAAATACATTTTTGTTTTCTTTCTTTGTTTTCCAAACACGTGGCAACAAATGAGATCTGCAAAATACTCACCATGCCTCTTAGCAAATACATTGGAATGTCTGCTTTCCAAAAAAGGGTGATGTGGAGGGGTTGCTTCTACTATCCTGGCATTTCTGGGCCAACATTAGAAACTTATGCCACACATCACCCACTCTTGAAGACCAAGCCTTTTCTGACACTTTTTGGTCACATGAAAAAAACAGTTTGTTTTTTGCTAGGAAATTACTTTGAACCCCCAAACATTTTTTTTTTAAAGCAGAGGCGCTACATCAGGGGTGTCAAACTGACAACCCTCCAGCTGTTGCAAAACTGCAAGTCCCATCATGCCTCTGCCTTTGGTAGTCATGCTTGTAACTGTCAATCTTGCAATGCCTCATGGGACTTTTGACAACAGCTGGAGAGCTGGCAGTTTGACACCTGTGCCCTAGACAATAAAACTGTGTGTTGACATTTTCCACATGTCACAGTATTTGCGCAGTGATTTTTCAAACGCAAATCTTTTTTGGGCAAATACACTTTTTAGAATGTTAATGAACAAAAATACAATATATTGCCCAATTGTTTGATAAGATATAAAAGATGATGTTAAGCCGAGTAAATAGATACCAAACATGACATGCTTTAAAATTGTGCATGCCCATGCAATGAAAACAAATTACATACATCAATGTTTATTTACACAGGAGTTCTATTGCCAGGATTACTGCCCTCGATCTGACATTTGCGGCGATACCTCACATGCATAGTACGACCGCTGTTTACATACAGGCATGGGGTAAAAGATTGCGCATGCAGGTGCGCGTGCACATGGGGGGTGAGGGTGCTTTTTTCTTTCAGTTATTTTGATTTTTTTTTTATTATTATTTTTACACTGTCCTTTTCATTTTTTTAAAATCACTTTTATTGCTATCACAGTGAATCTAAATATCCCCTCTGACTGCAATAGGCATTGACAGGTGTTTTTTTTTTTAAATCTGGGGTCTATTAGACTAGCTATCTCCTCTGCCTTTACATCATCTGATCTCACCAAGATTGGTGTATTCGGATGCTTTCCCAATTTACAAATGGCGTTGTTTATATCCTGTAAAACATGATGAAATGCTCGTGGCTTCCGATTTCTTAAACTATAAAGATGATTGGAGTCATTCTGGTCTCTGATCAGCTCTATGGTCAGCCAGGGTAACTGCCGGCTGAATTTTTGGATTCTCCTGTGGGACAGGAGAGCCCAAGAAAACTGTAGAAGGCGGCAGGAGGGGGGTATGTCTCTTCCCACTGCTTGTAAAAACAATTCAGCAGCTAATTGGCCACTAGGATTGCTTTAACATGAAAGTCGACTGCCAGCTGAAAAAAAAGATACCAGGATGATGCCTGTAGCTGCAGGCATCATCCCAGTATAACCATTCAAAGTCCAGCAACGTACCAGTACATTGCTGGTCCATGTTGGGCATATACAGTATGTAACAGCAGAGAACATGGGCATATGATGAATTTTTATATATATATATATATATATATATATATATATGTATTATGTTGTTCGTTAATCAATGACAAAGTTATCGCCGAATAAACTGGTCCATAGCAGAAATGTAAAAATTGCTCTGGTTCATAAGGAGTGAACAGATGTGAGAAGCCGAAATGGTTACAGAGTGGGGCAACCGCGTCCCTAACAACTGATAACTCATTCAGCTGTCAGCGGGGTTCACCTGAAGTGTAAACAAAACAGTATCGGTAATTGGTATCGGAGAGTAAGAAAAAAAAAAAGAAGTATTAACACTTTGTAAAAAAATGGTAATGGTGCATCCCTAATGCTAACCCCAACAGTTATCTCTAATTCTATATCTAACCCTAGCTATTAACCATAACCGACTTTGGTGACATAAAGGTTCCTGCACTACTTTGATGCGACTTTGATGCTACTTCGCACATTAAATTTGCACTACATGAACAGAACTGTCATACTTTCTATTAGCGAAAAATGGTATGGGTCCATTGAAGTTTATTATATGCAAACCACAATCTGTCCATGACGCTTTCCAAAAAAATGCACCAGCTCAAAACGCACAGATGTGAACTGGATCCATAGGAAATCATGCTAAATGGACTATAGTGTGTTTCTGCAAACTGGAAAATGCACTGAAATCTGCATAAGTGTGAACCTAGGGTAAGAGGGTTTTGTAGGCTTATACAGATCTTATTTCCTGTGGTCCATAATCCCAAGGGTATATTGAATTTACATTT